GCATGCTGAAAGATGCACACCAGAGGGTATGTCTGGCATGTGTGATGTCCTGATGGTAGCAATACAAAATACGTCTGCTTTTGGAGACATGGCATACAAACTTCAGGATAGCCTAAAGGTAGTGTTTTGCATTTATCACAATCAAAATTCCTAATTTTCCTGGGTCATATAGCATCATGGCCACGCGTGAACCATGGCTCCACAAGAATCCCATAAATTCTAAGGCCCTCTGATGCACCTGGGACTTAAAATTTTTTCCCCTTCTTCACAAAAACTCGAAGAGGGAACACCACTGCAGGGCAAGGAACCACCATCATCTTAAACTGCAGGATCTGCTGCTTCTTCAATAGCTGAAATGCATTTAATACCTCATGGGCTCAATCATAAAAAAAAAAAAAAAAAATCAGTAATATTCAAATCTTGAAGAGAGGCATATATCATACAGCTGACATACACCATCGGCATGGCCAGGGATTGCAATATTCACTTGAACTTCATGAATTTCATCCTCACTAAATAGATATTTTTGGCAACAAAGAATTGAAAAAAAAAAAAACAAACATCGTCCTCAGATCTATTTTAATTTAAAACAGAAGAGAACAGGGACATTTTTTTCCCCTTGAAGTACATTTTAATAAAATTAAAAATAAAAATAGCTCTAATTCACTTTGATGCATTTAGTCATTCTGTAAAATTCTAAGTTTAAAATGAAATCACCATTTTATATTCAAACAAGGTCAAGAGAACAGCACTAACGAGCACTGACATCACAGCGAACAGCAGCCACTGCTCCACGCTTACATCAGTGTTGCTTGTTGCTATGGTGCTTAACCGACTATTAATTTCTGAAAGAAGGTGATTATAAAGCAGCCATATGAACCTCAGTCAGATGACACCCTTCAGTACCAAACACTGATCTGTGTTACTCTTCTCTTCTGCAAGTTAATTTTGTGAATCACCACTTTTGTGATGTTAATATTCCTTTCCAACTTGAAACTTTGGACCAGAAGAGAGGCAAGGAGTTAATTTAGAAGCAAGGGACTTTCACGTTGCTTTAAATAAAAATCATTTTGCAGAGAGTGATATTTCTTTCCTTTTTGCTACGCTCCAAAAGACTAAAAAGCATGTGTTTTAATTTTTGCAGTGATAATAAGCGATCAAATTAACAGTTAAATTCTGCTCTCCTGCTCTGCTCAATGTGCTGCTCTAAATCCAGGAGTGTCTCAGTCTGGGACAAAGCAGCATTGAAGCCGACTTGACCATTCCCCAGGGATTTGCCCCGGTAAGGGGACCTTGCTGCAGGGCTCTGCCACTGTAGCTCCCAGCCCAGCACCCATCGATGCTGGGCCATGGTCTTGGCCATGCGGCCACCAAGATCAGCCAGAGCAGGGTCTTCCCATTCGCACACAGGCTATGTCCAGTTACCAAACAGCCTTCTCAGAACATGGCTGAAAGCCAAAAAGTGCATCTTCGTGTCCTTGCTCTTAAAAATGCAACTGGGCACCTAAACCATTGGCTTCCCAGGCAAAACATGGGTTTAAGGCACAGTGGTGGCTCCAAAAGCTTAGCTCCAAGCCCAACGCTGCAATTTTTATCCATATTGCCAGAAGAGCCTTTACTCGTGCAACTAAGGCACACTCCCGGGGTTTGCAGGCACACTCCTGGATCAGATCCTTCCTTCAGACATGCTTCAGAAACTGCGTGCAAAATATTATTTGTGTTTACCTTCTTCAGTTGCTCCTGTAAAGCAATCTTCAGTTACAGCCACCCAAAAAGCTCACTCTTCTTACCCTGCAGAGAAAGAAGGTAACACACGTGACTACTGGGTCAGTGTCAACAACAACGCCCAAAGCATTTTCATTGGCACCACATTTGCAAGTACAAACATAAATAAAGCAACAAATGAATCTAATAATGTTTAATGGTGAATGACTTTCAGAGAGAGTTAATAAAAACAATCAAGTCACAGGACTGCTGCTTATCAGTACCAGCCAGTGTGAGGCTCTTCAAGTTCAGCACAAACAACTTGGTCTTGGGGGGGGGGGGGGGGGGGAAAAAAAAAAAAACCACAGGGGAGACGGGGGGGGGGGGGGGTAAAGAAAGAACAAACCCATGGAGATGAGACTTCTTTGTTCTCTAGCATAAACTTTCTTAATCTTGATGTCTATCAGTCTATTTTCAGTTTGAATAATAGATGAGTTCAGTCCTTTGTTTCAGAAATCTGACTGTTGTCTGAATGGGTTCTCCTTACTTAAGGCATTTTAAGACCATTTGTAACCACTGCTATTTTAGCTTCTGGATCCTTTCTTTTTTCTCATCCTTTTCCATAGAGACACAGTCCTAGATGAGATTTTAAAACTAGCTGCACCTTCCTAATTCAAAAAGTTGTTTACTGTCTTGGGATATCTTCTCGTTAAGCATTACCAAGAGCACACCAAGTATGCCAAGGTGGGAAGAGCAGTGGGTATTTAAAAGAGAAATAATTAAAGTGTATCTTTATAAAAAGTAGGAGGGAGAAAACAGCACGTGTAGGGTTTTTTTTACCCTGTATATTACTGCATCTTGTGTACTCTCTCTTATGCAAAAGAGTATGTAATCTTTTAAGAAACATGACAATCTGCCACTTTCTGTTCATGTAATTGGGATCAACATATGGTACAAGAGAAAAGAAAAACATTTGTTTATTAATTTAGATCAAGTTACTAACTCAAACCACTAACAGCATTCAGAATTAATTTCCCATCAATTGACCAAATACCTTAATAGAGTAAAATTATAACATAATTTCACTGAAATGTTGATCTTCTGCTGCAGGAGTGCAGAATAATATGCAATAAAGACAGAAAGAAATATGCAATAGTTTGGTGACACAGATGACATCATATGAAACGGAAAGTCAGCGACATGTGGATGTGTAAGATAGAGCTACGTGAAACTCCATTTCATAAAATTCGCAGAGGGATGTGAAGTTTTGGGGGTGTTCATGAAACTCATCAAATGGTAAGTTATGCTATTTACATCAGTAGATGAAGCTTTTTACTGAAGCAGTAAAATACCAACCTCTGGGAAAATTCAGAATCTTCATTAAGTTCTTTCAAAAGAAAATGTACTCATTTGCCATTTATTTTGGAAGGAAAAATGTTTTCACAATGAGAATGAGGCATTACTTCTTTACCATTGAAATCCGATCATTTTTACCCAGAAAAAAAAAGGTTACCTTGAGATAAAATGAATATTGCTTTTATCTGTTGCTCACTGGCATTTTATTTTTTTTTTTAATGTTTCGAGTGAGAAGCTTTTCACAGTTCTTGTAATGCGGTACCGGAAGATCAGGGGCCAAAATTTGTACGCGTTTGCTGTACAGGAAGCCCTATGTACTTTGCTGGGCGACATGTGTAAGACATTCCTGATTCTCCATTGTGAAGGACATAACACTACTCCATCATAATAGGTCAGGTCTCACCTTCCTGAGAGTATGTAAAACAATACATCTTTTATGTAAAATACATGACCTCTGACATGTGATGTGCTCTTAGATTAGCAACAGTAAAGGCTTTTATCCTGCTTTGCTGTGGGGGTTATCTTGGATTTGACACTTTAAACCTCTTTTCATATTTATCTGTTTTATAAATTTTCTGGGTATTTGGCAGTCACATCCTTATTTTGGCAGTATTTTGCAAGCAGACTTCATTTCTACCCTGAGTCTTCATGATAGCAAATGAACCATCTTAACATGTACTTTTTAAGGAAACTGCTGAAAATTACACGTTCGCATACAATGTGCATACAATATCTCTTTCAGCAGTGCTGTAAGAGGCAGGTAATGTTTTCTAAACACATTTGTCATACATGAACCGAACACGCTCCAAGGACACCCAGTAACACTGGCCCACCATTAGCTGGTAGGAGACCAATGTGGTCTACCAAGGGCAACACACATGGAGAGCTGAGGACTTCAGCTCTTCTCACAAATTGATTGAAAGCTGGACTGCTTTCATTTCTGGTTCTCTAAGTCTTGCTATATGCTACCTGGCTTTCAAAAATTTGGATAATGTACCATTGAAGTTAAAATGAGCAGCAGAGACAGCTGTTCCCACCTGTGAAAATTTCTCATTAATAGTCAAAAAGTTGAGTATCTCAAAACATAGAAACACAAATACAGACTTTACTCCTGAAAATGTTTATATGGGTGAGTGAACTGATGTAGGCAACACACATTCCTACCATCATGCTGTCTTTAACATAAACACAAAGTACCATCAACACTGTAAGTGTGCATGTGGAGCAAACAAAGAAAAAAATCCCATCCTACCAAAGCAAGACACTTCACACCACACTCGTATTTTCCCCCAAGGAGATGATTAAAATAGAAAACCAAACCACAAACAAAAATCCACTTTGTGAGCAGCAGTGGTCCTGCTGTCTCACGAGTGCAGGAAAGATCTCCAAGCACCTGCGACACTGTCCCCTCGGCTCAACTGGCATTCCATGCAGGGAATGGCCCATGCAAAACTACATGCCCTGCTCAGATTTTACCAGATATTCCTGAAAACATTGCGTTTACTCGCTGAGTGCCTCAGTTTACCTATCAGCGAGGTGGGTAAACGCTTTTCTAATACATTTTTAAATCCTTGAATACAAAGTCACTTTTTAAAATATCTGTTTTCAGCA